ACTTTCTGTCATAAAATATATATATATTTTTTATTTTCAGGGTATTGATAAAATAAATGCATATATTGCTGCTCAAGGTACAGATTTCTTTCTGTTCATTGATTCATTTATTATCACAATTCATATCAGGGTTCTTGAAAAAATACGTAGATTCTTTTCGTAACTTTTCATTTCATATCATTTCATAATAAAATTATATAGACATATTTGAACAAAATATCGAAATCATTTGAATAAAAAATTCAAATATATGTATATCATGATTAGATACTGTAGAATTACATGTTTTCTTATGGTTTAAATTAACCCTATATCTTCCCCGGAAAGTCCCAATATACTGAAAGTTCCTTTAAGACATATGCGGCAATGTAAGAAATCCGTGTTATATTCTACCCGCGGATTAAATAGAAATTGGCATTTTGCATAATTATGATTCCGTGAAAAAAGTATACTTACAGTATTTCAAAATTATTTTAAATTTAAGACTGCAAAATTCGGTTAGGGAGCATTGTCAAACTCGAATAATGCGCCAGTTAGCTTTATAATGTCCATAGTTATATCTCAAATAAATGGCGCTTGAAGAAAATAAAATTTAAACATTCAAATATACAGTAGTACTGTTACATTAAATCAGATGCCAAATTCGTAAGTGAATATATTGCTTCGTTGAAAACAAATCATTTTCAGTAGACAGTTAGACCAAATTGAGAAAGCAATCAAATATGACTTCTAAGGACGTCAAGGAGCAGCGAGTACAAATATCATGTTGTATTCCATCGAAAGACATCTAAAACAAACTCAGAAAATACTGTAGAAACCAGGAAATATATCTTAAGTGAGCTTGGCATTTGTATTTAAATAGCAAGGGCAGTATTTGATTTGTAGAGACTGAATCATGCAAAGGACAGTCTGAGAGTAAACAGATTATGGATTAAAACAAGAGGCCAAAGGGCCACATCGCTTAAGCATTTTGGCTGGGAAAAGTAGAAATCTGTCCAGTATTGAAAGTTTGAATATTAAAGTTGTTCGGAAGGGGGTGTTATGATTTGAACAAACTTATATCTAAACCACCTAAAGATTCTTTTGAATTAATATGACTTATAATGGCTTTGCTGTTCTTAAGAAGAAATTTTTATTGCTAAATCCTTCATATTCCTTTGTACATGTATAACTATGATCCCCCGTTAAGCCCCCTCTATACTCCTGGGGGTTATGATTTGAATAAATTTGAATCTACATTACCAGAGAAGATTTTTTCTATGTATTCCTATGTAAAACAATAATCACCCACTGTGGCCCCACCCTCCCCAGGGGGTCATGATTTGATCAAACTTAATTCTACGCTAATGAGGATCCTTCCAAATAAATATGACCAATCATGGCTTTGCTGTTCTTGGGGAATTTTTAAAAAGAATGTCCCATTGTATTCCTATGTAAAACTTTGATCGACCACTGTGGCCCTCTATACGCACAGTGGTCAAGATGTGAACAAAGAACAAGGAGCGGTATTTAAATATTATGGCCGCGGTTTTTCGTATATTTTCATCTCCCATATTTTATGTATCAGTGTTGTTCAATAAGCTGACAAGGCTATGTACTTTATTCACATCTATTAGAAAATGACGTATTACTTAGTGTCACGTCATAATGGCGCGCCAAACACAGTGCGTTCAATGAAAAATAAGAAATTCTACATTGAATTTAACTTTTCATCGTAAATTTCAACACCAGCGCATTAAACAACCAATTTTATATTTGGTATACATATGCAATATCACCTCTTCTTGCTGTATGCAAAAATTGGTGTTGCTTGTCACCTGCGCTCCCTATGTATAATACAGAAAATGTTTACGGAACTTGTAGATTTTCTTTAAAAGTTCAACATTCATTTTCGGTATATGATTGCCTTGGAAACCGCTATTCAAATGAGCTGTTGAAGATTATCTAGAGCTTTGAAGAATAAGTATATATTAACATTGAAGAATGGTGCATACCTGTTGATGGTACGTATTTTATTATTTGATATTTTCTCAAATTTACTTTCGAAAACATTATTCAATATTTATACAAAAAGCGGAGATAGACATAACACCTATTTGACTGACAGCCCTTAGTCTGCACATATCCAACCAATGAAATCGTACATGGCTAATTAAAGGACACATTGTCAAATACTATATTATACCCATAGGGAAGAATTTATCCTTGAGAAAATGTGTATTTCCAAACAGAGCCAACCCGTTAAAATACAAGACGTAAAAGTTCTGTCAAATAAGTAAATACGATAATCATAAATGGTGATTAGTGACTGACATATTCTATTTCAACACATTACTATGATTGTTAACTTGCAGAGATTAATTAAGTTCAGTAACTAAATGAACATCGCAGTAAGGATGTGTATTTATTGAATTTAATTATCAAACGGCTCATTTCGTCCATGATACTAGTATTGTACTTGTATAAGGAATATATATATATAGGCACGAAGAATCAAGGGGTCCTGCCTTCTCCCCACTTTTTTTTTTTTCCAAACGTAACCTTTTACTACAGAAAATGTCCTCGAAATGCTAGTAGCACCCCTTTACTTTTTGTTGTAACATAGATAAAAAAAGTTATGGAAAGTTGGTAATATATATTATAATAAAATTAATACATTCACATAGCTAGAAAAGGGGGGGGGGGCGTAACGTGCCTGGCATAAGGTCCGCCTTCACTTATGAGGTTATGTCCTAGAGTTACTTATTGACATTCCTCGCAGGGTTACTACATTCTAAAAATTAAACGTGTATAAATATTACGAATATTATATTTGATAACAATTTATACATGCTGTTTTTTTAACCATAGACACTATAATAACTAATAAGTTAGAATATAACAGTAATTACAATTTATCTCACAAGTATCGATCATACAAGGGCGGATTCTTTTTTTTTTTCGGAGAGAGGTTTCAAAGCCCCTTAAAAAGAAAAAAAAACTCAAAAATGTTTTCACAAGCATAGAAAAAAGTTTGAATTTGAATATACTTATTATTACATATCGATTATTGCATATTTATTCTTTCAGAACACTTTTTTTAAGTCCTAGTTTTGTCCTTTACAGAATTACATGTAAACATATGCATGTACATATTAATGTACTATAGACCTGCAGTGTTGTTTGCTAAATGCGTATTTGTTATTTCTGATTTCAAATAGCGTTTGTTTCCAAGCTATGAAATACGTGTGTGTTAATAAATGAAATGACAAGCACTTATGTATGATATAGGTACATGTGTTCCAGAGTCTCGTAAGGCGACAATTTATTCGGGGACAGGTGCACCATGGTCTCACGTTTTCATAACTTTGCGTTATTATATAGATAATCATGTTATTGGTTAAAATAATTGTATTATACGCATTATATATGCCAAGAAATCCCGGTCATTTTCCACAGCGATGGGGTCAATAAAAGTGTAACTGATGTAAATTAATCCATATTTCCCTAACGCTGGCGAGACAATTAACGGCAGCAGATGGGGGGCCTAAGTTTTCACTTTTTTTTCAGTTAAAGAAAAATAAACCTTTACACCAAAGAGTTTCTTGTCTGGTTTCCGCCCTCGCCACTGCGTTTTTCACTTCGTTTTGGGAACGATGGAAGTGAAAAACGCATTGGCGGGTGCGGAAACCAGACTAGGAAGTTTCCTCGTATGTCCTGAAAAAATAGCTCCTGTCAAAAACCTTCATTTATTTACAAAGTACATAAAATATACTAGGCACAGGTACCAAAATTGTAAAAATAGACTGGAAGAAAATTTAAAAAAAAAATCGTTCTCGAAAGAAAAAAATAATTTATATGTATAGAACTACAAAGAAGTTCATTTTCATTGGTCATTTACCGGTGTGATACCTTAATAGGGCGCAGTACTTTCCACAACAAAAATGTTTATCGAGTTCGCTCTAAAATGCGTACCTTTTCTTGGCATGTGCTTGTAATTAAAACTGTAATGAACTGAATTGCCGAAGTTGTATTTCTCAAATGATATATATCTGTAGCTCTACAAAAATACATTTATTATGTGTACTTTCAACTTATGTTTTCTGAAAGCGAAAAGCGATATAACACAAGTTATAGATATTTTTTGATATATTTAGTGCGGGAGGGGGGAGGTGTCCCATAAAACCAATAAACTTAAGATAAACTATTGTTTCTTCCTTACAAATAAATGATTTATCAAACGAAAGTGCGTAGATAGATATATATTTGTAAATTCTTTTATAGCAGGTGCTTCTAGGGTTGTGATTACTGGAGTTTGATCCAAAAGATCAGAAAATATTCATTGTTATATTAATTCTCATCATTAAGCATGACAACAAGAAATGGTTAAACTATCTACTTCGAAGACTTCAGCTTTCTAGAATTTTGAACTTCCTTGTATGGCTTCGCCCCAAGACCCCACCATGGCCTCTTCCAAGACCCAAAGGGGACGACGGCCTCTAGACTCTACCTTATCAGATGGCGCCCTCCCTCCCCCCTTTCAAATCCTGGATCCGCCCCTAATATCTGTGAAATGCGTTTTGTCGGACCCAAGAACCAAACTGTTTGCCTGAGGCCGTTAGGCCGAAGGCAAACAGTTTGGTTTGAGGGGTCGACAAAACGCATTTGCCCGGGGACACAGTCAATATATGTTTTGTTATACCTTTCATTTTTTTTATTTTGACATAACATGATGTAAATTTTGTTTACCCGTATTGCGAACATGGTCAATTCCGTAAAGTTTTGTCGAACTCTAATGAATGCAAATAAGATACAGCTGAACCCGCCCATCTCATCGACAGGTCCAATATCTCGCTCTGCGGTCAAACATCGATTTTTTTTTATGACCGCTCAGCAAAACACTGGAAATGTTAGACTTTTTTAAGTATATAATTTTATAGGAAACAATTTTTAAAGGTATTTAACAATTATATTTATCAAATGTCTATGTATTATTTTTCAGATAAATATGTCTAAAATCAAAGCACATTCATGCGTTACATGCCATAAACGAGTGAAGAAAAATGAAGGAAGATTTCTGCACGGCAAGAAAAATAAAGATCTCAGAAAGTTTTTATCCAAGACTTTTGTCACGGACATAGTTGAGAATGACATTGTCTGCAATCGATGTCGACAACAGTACTACTGTTCTCATACAAGACCTGATATTCCTAGAACATCCAGTGCTTCTGACAGTCCTAACAAAGGAAACGGTGTTCCACCCATTACAATTCCGGTGTCTTCTGCAGGATACAGACATGATGCATGTGTCATATGTGAGAAAAAGGCCCGCTAACTAGTTGTTGTTCCAGAAAAAGCAAGGTGTGAGATGTTCGTACAAAATTTTATTTTTATGAAGCCTGGAGCTAGGCACGTGTTGCCCGTGTCACATTCATGATGGCCATTTTGTTGAAGATGTCTTAAAATCAGGTGTCGCAACGAGTCTTCGCTGTTACACGTCCTTCGATGAGATTGGTCTTGCTCAGTTTCTTGAAAGCTTGCGAGATGTAGCAAAACACAATGGTGCTGTTCGACTTAACTTCGACAATGATTCCCATATGTCTGATAAGGATTACATCAATCTAACGGGTTTAGATAGAACACAATTTAACGAAGTTGTCAGCCACAGTCAAGATATAAAGACTTCTAAATCTAGAAGTATTAGAACATGCATTGCCGTCTTACTCGTCAAACTAAGATGTGGCCTTGAAAACATTATGTTTACCCTTTTCAACATGAAAAAGTGGCAGGTAATATTATGTAAACTGATCCTTAAAAAATGAATCAATGACTTTAAAAAATTATAAAGTTATTTAAGAAATCAAATACAAGTAATGAAATTGTAAATGCTCTTCTTTGAATTTTAGATTCGTGGTGCTATATCATCTGCACGGAGGGCAATATTAAAAGATTTTGTCCCTCAAAATCTTGGATTTGGTCATGTGACTAAAGAAGACGTTATATCCAACCACACTAGACCATTGGCGAAAGAGCTTTTTTTCCCTTTGTTATAAAGAAGACCCACATGTCCTACTTGTTCTTGACGGGACGTACATTTATGTACAGAAATCATGTAACTTCAGATTTTCAAGGCGCTCCTTCAGCATGCACAAATACAGGCCATTAGTGAAACCGATGATGGTAGTAACTACGTCAGGATATGTGGTATCTGTCCTGGGGCCGTACCTCGCCGACTCGAAGAACAACGATGCCGGAATCTTAAATCACATGATCCGGAACAACACCGAGGAAATGCGAGACTGGCTCCAGGATAGTGACACATTCCTTGTAGATCGTGGATTTCGGGATAGTTCCGAGGTGCTTGGTGACATTGGTATCAACATGGAAATGCCTTGCTTCATACAGAGAGGTACATCTCAACACACCACACAGGAAGCTAACCATTCACGCTTAATAACTAAGGTATTTTACTTTAAATTTCATGTGTACACTGTACTTGTCTTCTAGTACTTATGAAATATTTCATATCATCCTAAAAATTGATGCATTGTTTAAATCATTAATTTCAAATCAATTTTCTAGGTAAGATGGGTAGTTGAGTCGGCCATTGCGAGGTTGAAGAGGTGGAAATATCTGAATCATGTCATACCAAATACACAGATTCCCTTCATTGGCGACTACGTAAGGATCGTCTGTGCCCTATGCAACAGATTTACTTCTGCCTTAAGTTCTGGCAATGAGGAGGAGGATCAGTCCATTGCCCTAAAAATGCTGCATCTCTCTAAGCGGACAAACGAGCTACAGGAATTTGTAGAAAGTAATGGACTGTCCAACAGGACATATTCATGGCAAAAAATTGATGCAGCCGGTTTTGCGCAAGACTTCCGAAAACTGTCCGATTCCGAAATTCGCCAGTTAACGCCAGGAGTGTACCAAGTAAAAATGGTAAAAGCATACACTCAGGAACACTTATAGGATGACGGTACATACGGAATCCTTGTGAACGAAGTCCTGGATGGTATTATTGGAGCCAAAATTCAGAGCCGCCATGTCAGTTCCAAAAAATACTCCTGTTGGGTAAAGTACGAAGATGGAGTTATCATTTCGTGGTATGGTAAGTGTAAAGCTGGCGCACGTATTGTTGGTTGCTGTGGACATATAACAAGCGTGATTTGGTTTCTATCGCATGCCCGACATCAGGATAAGCCCGTGCAAGGAGTGCGTGATTGGTCAGAACACCTCGAGGACGCAGCTCGCGTGATCGACGATTCTGACAGCGGCGAGGAGAGCTCAACTGAAGAATAGATTGTCTAGTTACATGTATTTTCTTGCAGTGATATTTTTCACGTTTATCGCTGTTTATTATCATTGAAACATAAATATTCAGCAGAATGCTAATACATAAAATGCTTAGTACATGTATCATAATTTTCACCGTATATATTAATCTTATGTACGATTCTATTACTGCAGCGTAATTCATGGTGGTGTTTGAATAAATTAATACCATATGTGTTGCAGATTCGAGCGAAAAATTGTTAAGATGTATATTTATTAATGATTGTTATAGAGAATTTAATTTCTAATCATGATTATGTTGTATCCTTCTTTTTAAATCGGTTAAAAAACGATACGAATTGTTTTATACTGATAGGTGTAGGAATTTATCACAGCACCTTTACAATTAACGTCCCAAACGTCAACGCTAAAATGGCGACGTTAGGTTCCACACAATCGCATTTCCAGGCATAAATTTTTCGTAATATTCATAAGATAAATATATACTGTTATATATTATCTGAAAGGAAATTTTTTTGGCTTTCCTCCCCCGCATTTAAAAGTAAATTTCACCAAGCGGCATTTTAAAGGCCAAAACGCCCCTTGTTCTTTGAATCTACACTCCCTGAAAATGCTTCCAAATTAAAATGACCAATCAAAACATTGCTCTTCTTGAAAAGATCTTTAAAGATTTCCCCTATGTATTCCTATGTAAAACTTTGATCACCCACTGTGGCCCTCTTAACCCCCCCGGGGGGGGGGGGGGATCATGATTTGAACAAACTGGAATCTACACCACCTAAAGATTCTTTTAAATTAATATAACTAATAATGGCTTTGCTGTTCTTAAAAATAATTTTTTATTGCTATATCCTTTATATTCCTTTGTACAGGTATAACTATGATCCCCTGTTATGCCCTTCTATACTTCTGGGGGGTTTGATTTGATTAAATTTTAATCTTCATTGCTTCCATATACGTACTGCCAATCATGGCTTTGCTGTTCTTGAGAAGATTTTTAAAGATTTTCCCTATGTATTCCTTTGTAAAACTTTGACTGCCCACTGTTGCTCCAGCCTACCCTCCCCCCCCCCCCCCCGGTGGTGGGGGGGGGGGGCATTATTTGAACAAACTTGAATATACATGTACACTTCCTGAGGATACTTCCATATAAAAATGACCAATCATGGCTTTGCTCTACTTGAGAAGAAGAGTTTTAAAGATTTTTCCAATGTATTCCTATGTAAAAATTTGATCGCCCATTGTGACCTCACCCTACCCCCAGGGGTCACGATTTGAACAAACTTCAATCTACACTACCTAATAATGCTTCCACATAAGTTTCATATTTTATTCATATCTAGTACAGTGGTTCTTGAGAAGATAATTTTTAAATGATGCCATCAATTTTTACGAATTCGTAATTATCTCCCCTTGGAAGAAGACGTGACCCTTCATTTGAATAAACTTGAATCCCCTATATCCAAGGATACTTTGTGTCAAGTTCAGTTGAAATTAGCCCAGTGGTTCTTGAGAAGAAAATGAAAATTGTGAAAAGTTTAAAACGACGACGACGACAGAACACGACAAATTTCAATCAGAAAAGCCTATTTGAGCCTTCTGCTCAGGTGAGCTAAAAATGTAAAAGAGATAGAAACGTCAAGGAAAGTGAAGCGCGCTTCACAGTTAAGGAACTTACTTAACTAACTAACTAACAAACTAACTTATGATACTCGAGCAATTCTTAACTAACTAAAAGTGTCAAGTGTTATGTAAACAGTTTTAATGAATGAGTAAGGGCTACAAACCGTGTGAGAAATGTAGAGGGGGAATGTTTTTGAGTAACTTTCATTTCATTGTTTATGACGTTGCAGTATTGTTAAAAGTGCTCCATGGTGGGAAAGCATGTTCTTTTTAAGATTAAGTAACATGAATTCCGCTTGACCAAATGAAATGAAACGTCATATATCGATGAAAGACATGTATGTACGTAGGAAAATGTGTTTATCTTAAATATCTGAATATGTTATGAAGAGGAGGACGTTATATACGTATTTCTTGAATGACACTCGTAATTTTGCTAATACATATTTGATTTTGTACTAAGGACCTCGTCAGAATACTGTTACAGACTTTTGGACAATGATATGGCAAGAAAACGTCAACCAAATAGTTATGGTTACCAACCTCAAAGAAGGAAACAAAGTGAATCTTAAGTTTACAAGTCACAGGAAATTGCAATTTGGGGATGATGTGCTTTGTCACACACAGGACAAAATGATAGCTAATTTTATAATGTTTCATCTTTAAAGAAATTAATTGATAACAGTGTATAACGGGTTTACTTCTATTGCAGTCAAATCCAAAACCAGCGTTTTTTTGTTTTCCTTCTCCTGCCAGGATATGTAATTTTATATTCAGTAGAGTTTTTTTTCAATGTCTACTCTTATTCTATTAATCGTCTACTCACTAGACAAAATGCTTTAAGTACTGGCCTGATTTACATCAATCCAGTACTTTTGGTGTGATTTCCTTACGTGGGGAGGAAGAGAAAATCTATGCCTATTACAATATCAGAAAATTAGGAGTAACCAATAAAGTGGTAAGTTAATAAGGTTTATTTTCAATAGTTTTGATTTTACAATGAAATATAGATTTTATCAGAGATGCAGCTTCAAAATGTTGTTCCCCCTCAGTTTTCAAACTAAATTCATAAAAGCGGGCAAGATGTCTTTAACAATGAAAAATTTCATAGTAATGTTTCGGTAACATTGAATTTTTTTTACACTGAATAAAAATGGATCTGACACTTTAATAAATGCACGTTATTATTTCTGGAAGGATTTTTTTTTTATGTGAAGCACATTTAAAAAAAAAGACATTTCCCCTCCAAAATACCAGGATACTGTCTTTTCTTAGGGATCAGAACTCTACAATTTTGCTTCAGGAAGACTTAAGTGTATTAAAAATCATATTTACAGGAAATAAATACTATGTTGTAGTATAACCTAACTTCAATGCAAATTTCTTAAGTATTATCTTCTCGTGATGCATATCACCCATAGAATAATTGTAATTGTAGAAGATTCAACGTTTTTGTTTATTCAGGAAAAGAAATCTCACATGGTGACACAGTACCACTACACCGCCTGGCCTGATCACGGCACATAGGAACCGCTCTGTCTTGTAGTTTTCTATGATCACGTGACAAGGACAAAAGATACACAAAATGGAGGCCCAACATTAGTACACTGCAGGTCAAGTGAACAAAGTTATTTGTAAACACAGCGAAAGTTAGCTCTTGATGAAATCGAAGATGTAATTTTTGTAGAAATATATCAATGATACGTAGACAGGGTTTCTGTAACTCCGCCCCCCCCCCTTTTTGTAATTTTTTTTAACCAAGTAACACAGCAAATCTGGACTTTTATGCTTTATCCAAATGAATATTCTTTAAAATAAATTGTCAACATTATTATATGTATTAAATTGATACTTTTCGTTTTATATCTAAATCATATATTTTCTTATATTTCAGTGCTGGAATCGGCCGAACGGGCACATATATCGCTATTGACGCTTTATACAAGGCTGGCAAAACAAACAGGAAAATCAACATCGCGGAATACGTCAAGAAAATGAGGGAAAACAGAATGAACATGATTCAGACTTATGTGAGTTAACAATTAGTTAATTAAAATTATATTCACATGTACAGTTAATGGATTTACATAAATAACTATTCAAACACTTCAATTATGATAAAAAAAAGTGTTTTAAAATTTTTTAAACAAAGTTGTTCAATTTACACGATTCTTTCATGCAGCATGCTTATGGATAATAATTAAATGAAATACATATAACAAATGCACTTATGAAATTAAATAAGTTCAATTCTCAGTCAGGTAAACAGAAAATTAGAATGGTATGAGCATTCTATGGTGTGGTTTGATATTTTTTTTCAATAAATCAGGACCAGTACATGACTATTTTTCTGGCACTTGACTCCATGTTTAAGGCGCCAACATGCTTATACACCAAACCAAATTCTTAAGGAGAGCAGAGTTAATGACACGGGATAAACCAGCAAATGAGAGTGAACTAAGAACGGAGTTCCAGGAAACTAGAAACAAACTCACAGGACTGGGAAAGAAAAAAAAAATAATAATGCAAAAATCTGATGGAAAATACTTGAAACTGTATTTTGGCATATTGAACGAAACAAGTCTATATATTGGTAAAATGTTATTTTTTTAGCTCACCTGAGCTAAAAGCTCAAGAGAGCTTTTCTGATCACCCATTGTCCGTCGTCCGTCCGTCTGTCTGTCCGTCTGTCCGTTTGTAAACTTTTGACACTTTCAACTTTTTCTCAAGAACCACTTGACCAATTTTTACGAAAATTGTCACCAAAACATTATTGAGTAAAGGGAAGTTAAATTGTTAAAATGAAGGGCCAAGCCCCCTTACAAGGGGAGATAATCAAGAAAAGGCAAAAATAGGGTGGGGTCATTAAAAAATCTTCTCAAGAACCATTTGGCCAGAAAAGCTGAAACTTATGTGGAAGCATCCTAGGGTAGTGTAAAATTTAAATTGTAAAAATAATGACCCTCGGGGGTAGGGCGGGACCACAATAGGGAATCCAGGTTTTACATTGAAATATATAGAAAAAATCTTCAAAAAATTTCTCCTCAAGAACCACTGGGACAGAAAAGCTGAAATTTATTAGGAAGCATCCTTGGGTAGTGCAGATTCCAAATTTGAAAAATCTTGAGGCCCAGGGGTAGGGCGGGGCCACAATAAGGAATCCAAGTTTTACATGGAAATATATAGAAAAAATTCTTTTAAAATCTACATCTCAAGAACCACTGGGCCAATAAAGCTGGAACTTATATGGAAGCATCCTGGGGTAGTGTAGTTTCAAAATTGTTAAAAACATGATCCCCGGATTAGGGTGGGACCACAATAGGGAATCCAAGTTTTACATTGAAATATATTGGAAAAAAAATCTTTAAAAATCGACTTCTCAAGAACCACTGGGCCAGAAAACCTGAAACTTATGTGGAAGTATCCCGGGGT